CTCGCCGCCGTAGCCGTCGTTGGGGAAGCAGAGGATCACGATGCCGCTGCTCCGCGGGCCTCTCTTTGGGGAGCGCTCTCACCGGGATCTCGAGGCGAATCCAGCCGCGGCGACGAGGGATGGGCAGCGGAACTAGTATCTTTCCTTCCTCCGAGCCGGAGGATGAGGAGGAGGAGGAGGAGGAGGAAGAGGAGGAGGAGGAGGAGGAGGAGGAGGCGGAGGACCAGGAGGAGGAGGAGGAGACGGAGGAGGAGGAGGAGAAGGAGGAGGAGGAGGAGGGTGTTCTGGCCCGCCCTCGTCGACGTCGCCGTCGTCTCGCTGCCGCTCTCGCCCACCCCGTCGCCCTCGCCGGCGTCGCCGTCCTCCGCCGGCCCGGAGAGGTCCGCCGCACGCGGGCGCTCCCGCCGCGCCCGACGCAGGACGCCTCGGCCGGCAGGGGGGCGGAGGGAGCGATTCGGCGCTCAAGAGTCAGGAGGGAAAAAGCACAGACACAATGAATCGTCGATCCCAAGGAAAATATGGGAAACTATGGGAAGTGGCGGGGAAGACAAAAAACCAGAAAATATTGGGAAATATGAGGAATCCTGTTATTTGTGTGTATTTGTTTGTGTGTCCCAGGGCCCCTTCAAAGAGACGGGGGTCAACGCAAACGGGGTCAGCCAGGACACCGGATCCTGCAGGATCCTGCGAAGACCCCCTCTGGCTGACCCGGGTTAGCGAGCCGCTCGTGGCCGCGAAGCGGCCACGCATATTGGCTGACCTGGGTCTGCGAAGCCTTGCGTTGGAGTTGTTTTGTTCTTGCATTGCAGTTGTTGGTTTCTTGCTGACCCGGGTCTGATTGACCCGGGTTAGCAGATGCCCGAGCGAGGAAGGTGAGGTGTCAGGGGCTGCGTTAGGCACCCCGAACGCGTTCCACTGCTCGCAAAGTGCCTGATCGCAACTTTCGACAAGCACACGCCTGCATCGTAAATCCCACATGGCGGATCCAGGCCATCTGGGAGAAGTTTCTGTGCGAGCAGTGAATCGCGCTTGTCCAGCTAGGGGGGCGATGGGCTCCAGGTGGGGGGGGAGCATTGGCCACCAGTCGCCTACTCATCTCCGATAGGGGCACGAGGGCCCATTCCGCTAAGGAGCTCGCGCACTCGCTTTCGGAGGCCTGTCGCCAGTCTGTCGGCGAGGCATCATCGAGTCCAGGTCGATGTTTTGTCGAAGCCTCGTGCGAGGGCGATTCGAGTAGGGGGTCAACAACAGAATTGATCCACCCCAGAATTGCCTTTTCCGTCGAAGCCCTGAACAATACGTGGACTGTTCGTAGATCCACGCGTGGTCTACATATTTTCTCGTAGACTGGGCGACAAAAATCAATACTGGTGTACATCAAATCTGTAGTCGATCCCCTACTCGAGCGATTGGTAATCTTCAAGACAAACTGAGATTCAGACGTTATCGTTGAGTTCTGTGTTTGTTCTACATGCTGTGTATCGGAGGCCCTCTTGGATCGCCTGGGGGGCTGCTTGAGGCTGTGTCGGGCAGATCGCGCGACTCGGAAGGTCTTTGGGTTCCTCTGGCTATTCTAGGCTTCGGGGGCGCGAACATGGCGAACTTTACTATGGATCGTGGGTTCGGGCACGAGCACGGCGTAATTCACCAGAGATCGTGGCATCGACGCGAACATTGTGTACATGACGAGGGATCGTGGCCTCGGGGACGCGACTATAGCGTAATGTACAAGGCATCGTCGTTTCGGGTGTTCGAATATGTCGTAACTTGCAAGGGATCGTGGCCTCGGGGACGCGAATCGTGTATAATTGTTCAAGGGGTCGTGGCCTCGGGGACGCGACTACAGCGTAATGTGCAAGGGATCGTCGTTTCGGGGACGCGAACATGTGGTAACTTACAAGGGATGCTGGCCTTGGGGACGATACGATGGAATATTGTATACTTTACGAAGGATCGTTGCCTCGGGGACGCAACTATGATATGCTTTAAAAGAGGTCGTTGCCTCGCGAATATAGTATAAGTTGCAAGGGAACGCGACCTGGGGGAAGTCAATAGTTTATACTTTACAAGGGATCGCGGCCTCGAATACGCGAGTGTGGCGTAATTTGCAAGGGATCGTGGCCTCGGGGACGCGAGCATTGTGACTTTATAAGCTCGGGGACGCGAGCATAGTGTATTTTTCAAGGGGTCGTGGCCCCAGAGACTCGAACACTATGTGCTTCAAAAGGGGTGGCCTCGGGGACGCGGATCGAGTTTACTGTGCCAAGGATCGTGGCCTGGGAGAAGCGAGCATTGAAATTTATACAGAGGATCGCGGCCTCGCAGAGGCGACTCTGGTGGAAATTCTGAGGGATCGTGGCCTTGGGGACGCGACTCGTGTACAATGTGCGAGGGAACGTGGCCGCGGGGACGCGACCACGGGGTAACGTGCGAGGGGACGTGGCCTCGGGGACGCGAACCTGGTGCAATCTGCACCAGGTCATTGGTTCTCGGGGACGCGAACATCCTTTAGGCCACGAGGGACAGTGGCCCCTGAGGCGCGAACCTTATTTTCTTGCACGTGTCCTTAAGGCCCAGGAATTCGGACAACCCGATTCGGGGACGCTGGCCAGAACGGTTTGAGGCTACCACCCCTCGCGCGGACGTCAGTTGACAGTGGGAAGCAGAAAGCAGTACCAGAAATTTGTCCTGCGTTCTATGCTTGCCTCCTCCTGTTCTCTTGTCCTCCATGCCGCCGCCCTCCCTCTTGCTGTCGCCGCGCTGTCTCGGGTCTCTCTGCTTATGACCATGTTCCACCTTTTTTTCTCGACTGCAGCAGGCGTAGCCTCGGAGCTCTGTACGCCACCGAGGAGGAAGACAGAGAGGACTACAACACTGGAGACTTGCAACTGGAACTGCAGCAGGGAGCAGCAGGCCTAGAGGTTGACACCAACACCAGTTTCGGCGGTGTGCCTCCACCGAGGGAAGAAGACCCCGATCTCGGTGACGGTGGTAACTTTCTGGCTTCCAGGTTGGCCGAGATAGTTCCACCAGCGCCGACATCTAGGATCATCTTCCCCCTGTGGAGGCACCCCCCGTGTTGGTGCTGGTGCCCATCTCCAGGCCTCCGGGCAGAAAGCGGCAGGCCTGCCCCGCGCAGCCCGGTGGCCCCCATCTAGGGGGGCCGCCGGCTCTGGGGCCCGAGGCCGTCCTCACTCTCTCAGGCGATCGCGAACATGGATCCAGACCTCTGGGAGTCCGCGTCGTGACGAATCAGGCGATCGGGTTTGGGAACCTCGCGCCCCGAGACGCCGAGCAGTTCTGTGCTCTGAGGACCGAGGGCTGCTCGCTCCGAGCGCCTCGCCCCCCCCTCCCCACGGCCGTCCTCACCCGGCCGAGGCGGTCGCCGCTGGTGCCGTCTGTCGCCGTCGGCGCCGTCGCCAGCGCCGCCGTCGTTGGCGCCTCTCTCAGGCGATCGCAAACATGGATCAAGGGGGCGTGGATTAGCGACGGGTCCCGTTTCCAGGGGAAATCGCGGCTTTCCGCCGCCGAGCGAGGCGGCATTTGGCCGCATTTTGGGGAGGACACCTCCCCCGATCCATGGATTTGGCGACCGCGCGCCAAATCCATGGATCGCTAATCCATGCTTGCGCGCCCCCGACTCTCTGGTCAGTGGAGACCCATGCCAAGAAGCACCCCGCTTGCCTCCAGGGTGCCCTGGGCTTTGTGGGTTTTGGGGAGCGCGGCTCTCCCACAACAGAAATCGATGGACGTCCTGGGGTTCCAGGTTTGGGTTTCTTCAATGAAGGTTTCTTGTGGTCGGGCCCCTGCTGTAAATGTCGTTACCTGCAGTGACGTTCGGGGCAGATAACGCGGCCGATTTGCTCGGCGCAGAGCAAGCAGGAGGCCACATGCGAGCCCTACCCGACTTCCCCCCTTAGGAATCGTTGGGTGGTGGGGTAGGGCTCGCACGTGGCCTCCTGACAAGGCCGGAGAAAGGGTGGATCAGTCTGCGGTCCGTTCCTTTTCTGAAGCAGGTCCCACAGAGTGCTTAAGAGGTCCGCATCCCGTTCTGGTTCGACTGCGCTGCGCACCACGTCGCCGTGATGGACAGTTGTTCGCTGGGGGCGTCCGCTCGCCCTCCGCTCGTTGGAACAGACACTGGCGCCTGTCCGAGGGCGCTACGCCACTCGAGGCTGCGGAAGGGGCAGAGGACCAGTCGGCGGCGAAATCCGAACCCCACCCTCGCCGCTCAACGATACAGGCGACTCGATGGGTGGAGGGGGTAGGGTTCGGAATCCGTCGAACCTTGTGCGAAGTCCGAACCCTACCCCCGCCTCCCATTGATTCAGGGGAGTCGGTGGTTGGTGGGGGTAGGGTTCGGATGCCGCCGCCCACTGAGGAGGGGAACGACGAGGACGCTGATGGAGAGGAAGAGGGACCATCCTTTGAGGTCAGGACGCTAACTTTCGTTTCGCACCGAGCGCTCTCGCCCGGCTTCAGGTCCTGGGGCCCTCACGGGCCGATTTCGCTCGAGCATTGCTATGGGAAGACACGGCTTGGGGCTTCGGGTCGAGATTGTCTTCATTGGAAAGACAGGGTCTGGAGCAGCGGGTCGAGATTTGTGTTGGTGTTGTTTTTCCGTTGCGTCAGATCTCCAGAATGGACAGTGTGGCGGGGGAGGAGGGACGGGAAGGGGGAATGGGGACAAGGGGGGTGAGTTGAGCGGGGGTATGGCGGGATGGGGAGGGGTAAGGGATGGAAAGGGGACGCGGACTCCTTCCTCCCGTCCCCATCCGTCTCCCCTTCCCCTTCCCCAGGCCTCCCTCCTCGCCCCTCTCCCCTCATCGTCCTGCCTCCTCCCTGTCTCCCTACTATCTGCGGGGCCTTCCCACGCTTCTCTCGGAAAGTTCGGGCCCTGGATTTGGCAACAGGTTGCTAGAGCCGTCGCCCCATACGTCAGGAGATTAGTGGAAGCCGTGCTGGAATGCTCTCTCCAGGATCTCTGAGGGCTTTTTCGTGCTGGTACCTGGAAGCGCCACGTCCAGGTATGTGGCCAGCCCCCCATCTGAGAGGATCTTACAAGGTAGTTGAAACCTCGCGGGGAAAAACACCTGCTGCCTCCCCCCCAGCGATGACGACGCCGACGTGGAGCGAAGGAGCTCCAGGGAAACTCGGAGGAGGGCGACAACGACCAGCACCTGCAGGCCCCGCCGCCGCCGCCGCCACAGTCGTCGTCGTCGTCGTCGTCGTCGTCGTCGTCGTCGTCGTCGTCGTCGTCGTCGTCGACATCGTCGTCGTCGTCGTCGTCGTCTTCGTCAACGTCGTCTTCGTCGTCGTTGTCGTCTTCGTCGTCGTTGTCGTCTTCGTCGTCGTTGTCGTCTTCGTCTTCGTCTTCGTCGTCGTCGTCGTTGTCATCTCCCCCCTCTCTCCTCGTTCCCCTCGCCACGGTCTCAGGTTGGCTCTTGCTGGCCTCAGCAGTCTGGCCTTCGCCAGTCCTGGGCTTCTACCCCGTCCGCCCCTCGCTCTGCTTCCCGTTCACTCCTCTCGTTCCCTCCGGCCCTTCCCTTCTTTTCCAGCTCACCCCTCGCCTCCCCCTTCCACTCCTCCTCCATCTACCGCCTCCCGCTCATCCCTGCCCCTCCCTGTCATCCTCTTCTTCCCCCTCCTCCACTTACACTCCTTCACTCCTCACCACTCCTCGCTCCTCACTCGTCCTCGACGTCGTCTCCCCCAGCCTTCCCCTCTCGCTTTCTCCCTGTTCCCTCTGCTCTCTCATCATCTCTCCCTGTCCTCTTTCCTTCCTTTCCTGAGGAACGCGCAGAACATGTTGAGGAGAAGGTGGGGTGGGGGGGCGGGACGGGGGGGAGGGGGGCGGAGGGAGTGCGGATGGGGGAGAATGACGGAGGGGGGATGAGGGAGAAGGATGGAGAGGGGAGGAGGCCGGAGGGACGGTGCGAGGAATGCGGGAGGGAGGCGGGGGAGAATTAATTCAGGAGGCGAGGGCGCGCGGTGGGTGGAGGGTGAGATTGAGCAGGAGCAGGAGCAGGAGGAGGAGGAGGAGGAGGAGGAGGAGCAGGAAGGGGAGCAGGAGCAGGAGGAAGAGGAGGAGGAGGAGGAAGAAGAAGGAGGAGGAGAGCGGGAGCCGGGGGGGAGGATCATCGAGCGGGGTCGGTGGTTCTGAGGCCGACGAGGAAAAGGCAGCACCCGCCGCATGTGTGTGTGTGCGTGTGCGTGTTTTCCGAACTCATTCCTGGGAGGATCTGCAAGAGCCATTCCTTCTCCCTCCTCCCCTTCCCCTGGGACCCTGGCGCTGCATTCTTCTTGTCGCACGGGGCGTCTCTGCCTCCAGGCTCTCGGCCCCCCCAGGCCATCACGGATCGATATCCGGCCCGCAGAGTGCCGCAGGAGGTGGGGGGGCCCAGGGCTCCTGCGCCGCGGTCTTTCGCTGGTGCTGCACTGCTTGCCCGCGACGCCGCATCTCAGGTAGGGGAACAAACAGTGACATAAACATGACAACTCAGAGGTCCGCGCGGATTTCTCGGATCGGCGCTGGGGCCCCCTGGCGGCGCCTCCGGCGCCGCCCTGGCGCGCTCCGCGCGCCAGGGAGGGGGGTCCAGCGCCGATCCGAGAAATCTGCGCGGACCTCCGAGTTTTTATGTTGATGTCACTGCTTGTTCCCCTATCAGGGTCCTGCGCCTGGAGACGGCGGCTGCGGCCTCGGCGGCGCCGGCGCCGGCGACGGACGGCGGGGGGCAGGCGAGGGCGACGGCCCCCAAGCGACGAGGGCGCGTGCCCAGCCATGGCCGCGCGGGGCGCCGCCGAGGGGGCCCCGGCGGGGGCCGGGCGGGGCGCCACGCGGGGGGGCCTGGGCGGCCGCGGCGGAGGCCGCCTCCAGCATGGCGCCCGACGACCCGGTGATGGGCCCGAACGACCGGGCGACGATGGTGCCGGGCTTCCGCGAGGTGCCCAAGACAGGCGCGCGGAGTCAAGCAGTGGCGAAGCGTCTTGGCGTGCCTATAGGCCTACCAACAACTGTTCTAAGAACCGTTTTCGGTTTCCACGGAATGTTCCTTAGAGCATTTCTGGTTGGGACTGTCTTGTTTTAACACATCGAGTGTATGGTCTAAGAACGTTGCTTTTGTTCTTAGAACATTTCTGGGTTCTAAGAACATGTCGTGGTAGGCCTATGGGAATGCCGGGACGGTCGTTCCCTGCTCAACGGAGGGCGGCGGCGGCGTGGCGTCCGCGCCGGCCGCGAACGCAGGGTCGGCGGCGGCCGCGTCGGCAGCGGCGGCGGCAGAGGTGGCGTCGGCGGCGGCAGCGGCGCCCGCGTCGGTGGCGCGTCGGCAGCGCTGGGGGCAGCCGCGGATGCTGCTCCGGAGGCGGCGGCGGCACAAGAAATTGCAGGGGCGACAGATGTGGCGTCCCCTGGGATCCGGGCGTTGCAATCATTTCACAGCGGGCGTTTTTGTCTGGTTTCGGGCGCCAGGGCCTTCACATAACTAACGATGCGGCTCGAAAAACGCTGGAGGGAGATCGGGTGTGGGTGTCTAGGTCGACAGTCGTGATGCTTGACGATGTTAGTTTTTTGCGCGACGTCGGATCTCAGGGTCGGCGGCGGCAGCGGCGTCGGCGACGGCAGCATCGACAGAGGCGTCGGAGGCAGCTGCGGCATCGGCGGCATCGGTCTCGTCGCCGTGGGCATGGTCGTGGTCGTCGGAGGGTAGCGAAGGGCAGGCGAGCAGATCGGGAGGAGGGGTGAGGGGGAGGAGACTCGGAGGGGGAGTCCCCAGTGGGATCGGGGCACACGTGACGGGGGTCAGCGCTGACGCGTGTCAGCCGATCCTCTAGCTGACCCGGGTTTGGGGGGGCCACGTGGGGCCGACTCCCCCCTTTCCGACTTGCGCTGACCCAGGTTCAATGCTACTATCAGAAGGGAAAAGACACACAGACACAATGAATCGTCGATTCCCCAGAAAATATAGGAAAATATGGGAAGTGGGGGGGAAGGCAAAAACCCAGAAAATTGAGAAAATATGGGGAATATTTTTATTTGTGTGTATTTATTTGTGTGTCCTGGGGCCCCTTCATACTAGGCGGCCGGCTGGGCTTCGCGACAGGGCCATGGCCGACCCGGGTTTGTGCTGACCCGATGGGCATTCGGGGCATGCCGGGTGGGTCGTTGCTTTTCTCATCCTTCCCCCTTCTCTCGGGGGCCCCCAAACGGGGTGGTGACCACACCGTGCGGTGAGTCGGCGGGGATTCGGGGTCACCGTACGGTTTTGGGACTCGGGTCGTTCTCCGAGGATGTCTCGGGCGACAGGGGCCTTTGGAGTCCCAAGACCGTGCGGTGACGGACCGTGCGGTGAGGTCTTGGGGGATTTCGAGGTCACCGCACGGTCTGTCACCGCACCGTTTCGGGACTCCAAATTTACCCCTTCTCCTCGTCCTTGGACAGCCGATGCCTTGATTGCGCAGGGACGGCTTTTCATCCCGAGTCGTTTTTCAACGGTCCCAGGGCCAGGCGAGGGCCCCCTCAGGCCGATTGTTTGGAAACTCTGTTTTTTGTCGGCTTGTGTTTTGTTATGATTGTTTTAATACCTTCGTGGTTTGGGTCCTAGTTTCCCGCCTCGTCTAACTCATCGCCGATCTATCGGCGATGGATCGCCGATTCCTAGTGGATGTTTCCCTATCATGCGCCCGTTCCCCCCTTCTCGTCCCTCCTCAATCCACACAAGTGCCATCTACGGTGTGCAGTGGCAGCAGCACGACAACCTACCGAGGCGACAGCGAGTCGGAGAGCATGGTGGACGAGACCCCAGCAGGTTTCTTACCGATCCCCATCCCCACTGGGTTATGTCAGGAGGGGAAAGAACACACAGACACAATTAATCGTCGACACCTAGAACAATATGCGAAAACATGTGAAGTGGGGGGGAAGACGAAAACCCAAAAAATATGGAACAATTTGGGGAATCCTGGGATTTGTGTATTTATATATATATATATATATATATGTGTGTGTGTTTGTGTGTGTGTGTGTGTCGATCCCCCTGGCGCGCCACGTCCTGAAGCTCCGCAGAAACAACAGACCGTGAGCCGTAAACTGAGCTAGCCGTCCGGCCAGCGGGCCACTGAGGCCCCCAACAGCTAGTCAGACCCGCGCCGACTAGCAGGCTAAGCCCCCAGGCTCGCACCCGAGGTGGGATGGAGGCCTTGCAGGAGCTTCTCGCGGCGTCTGCGCCGCTCGCGCTCCGCAGGGCTACACCTGTCGAGAGGCGGGAGGGGGCCCGGGCACAAGCCCTTCAGCCTCTTGGCACCCCTCTCTGCGGAGACGTACGCCCCGCACCGCCTGCACAGCACAAACGGGCTACGCAAGACCAGCTCATGGGCGTTATCCGCCACGGGGCTGGGGTCTGCAGGAAGACCTGCCGAAGGCTGCTCCGGGCCTCGTCCAGCACCACCCTCCCCCACACTCACCGCCCCCCCTCCCTCGACTGAAGCAGCAGCGGGCGGCGGCGCTAGAGGAGGGGAAGCAGAATTGCTCTTTTCCCTCGACGGCGGCACCATGCGCGCACGACGCTGCAAGGCTCTAAGTGGCGCCTCGTTCACCTCGGACGCCGCCTGCCGGAGGTCGCACCCCGCGAGGCTGCGGGAGGAGTCGGAGGTTTCACCAACGACCTGCCTTGCAGAAGCGGCCATTAAGGAAAAAGCCGGTCTTAAGTAACGTTTCCGCCCCTCGCTCTCGTCAGCGCCATCCTCGGCCGGCAGCTCCCCAGGCTGGTGCGCCGCGGCCGCTCCTCTGAGGCGCGGGAGCTCCCGGGAGGCGGCGGCGTCGCCTCGCACCTTGGCCCGCTGGCTTGGGGGCTTTCCAGCAGCTCCGTCAGCATCATCTGGTGCCCTTTTCCTGCCGACGCGACGCGGCCTAGCCGCTGCTGGCGGAGCAGCGGCAGCCGACGCCTGCCCAGCCGCAGCCACGGCGGCCCCGGCAGCCAGCGCCCCGGCCAGTGCTGGCACCTCCATGCCGCGGCCGGCGCTGACGTCTGCAGCATCATCGTCTCCCCGGCTGGCGTTGCCACTGCCAGCCACGCCATCAGCATCACCTCCTGCCGGCGCTGCACGGGGGCGCGCCGCGGACGCCATAGCCTGCTCCGCCTCGGGGAGCGCCTCGGGCTCCGCCTCTGCAGGCACCAGTCCGGACGTCCAGACCGTTACGGGGCCTGCCGCCTCCACGAGCATCAGCTCGTCGTCCGCAAGCTCCTCAATCAGCCCGGCACTGGCCTGGGCAACATCCTGCGGCGGCGCCTCCAGGGCGAGCGTACCCGGCGCGAGCCACCCGTCACCCCCGCCCGACAGCGGAGCGGGGGCGTCCTCCGTGGGCGCCATGCCAGGTCCCCGAGCGGCCTCCAATAGGTACTTCACCTTGCGCTGCTGGGCCTCTCGCTGGTCATCGCCCTCGGCCTGGTCGCCGAAATAATGAGAGGGCGTCGTGCTCCCGCTGACCCTGCTTGCTGCAGCCGCCTGCAACCGGGAGAGCGCCGTGGCCCTGCAGGGCTGGCAGTCGAGCCGGCGCTTGCTCTCGTAGGTCGCTGCCGTGCAATTGCACCGCATGCAGCGGATGGTGCCGTTCTCCTCCACGTAGTCGTGTTGGATAATGATAATTTGCGGAGTTCGGGCCGCCTTGACACGAGGCGGCAGCTTCGGCTCGTGCTCCTGAGGTTCCCACGCCTGGGTCTCAGAAATGCGGCAGACTCCCCAAGCCATGAACTTCGCCATGTTGATCGCGTCTTCCATGCGGCGCTGGAGCGTCTTCGCGAAGTCCGGGGAGATGGCGACCGAGCTGACGCCCAGCTGCGCGAACCAATCGGCCCAACGATTGCCTATCCAGTGCATCGGGTCGATGTCGGCGCGCCCCATCAGATCCTCCACCGTCTTGTGCGCATGACACCAGAGAAAAGCAGGCGGCCTTCGAGCCTGGACCACGTTGAAGATATCCCTCCAAAGCTTAGCATGACGGCCGCTGGAGCCCGCGGCCTGGGGGTCCCACGCGTTGCCCTCATCGGCGAAGCCCTGCAAGTCAGTGACGAGCAAGGTGAGGTTGGGATTGGCGCGCAGAGCTTGGAGGCCAGCGTGCCGCTCTGCCCGTCCCGTGGTCTGCCACCGCCCCGGAAGGCTCCCGAAACGGGCCCGCACGGGCCAGCCCTGGGCGTCGATGCACACGATCGCCCACCCGCATTGCCGCACCTCCTCGACATCGTTAGCCCAGGCCGAGCCGTCCGTGTAGATGCACTCGTCCCATGGTCTAGAGGGGTCACCCCACTCGAAAGACGTGCCGCCGCGAGGCATCGCAGGCAGCTCGTCGGCCGTTCGCCTCTGGCAGGGTCTGGGTCTGCTGCCTGCACTGCCAGCGTTGGATGCTCTGGCGGAGGGCATCTTGGATGTCCCTCGGGGCCGTGTCCAGGAGGGAGAACGAGCAACCTATGTCGTCGACGAGCAAGTGCGCAGCCTGCATCGCCCAGTTGACCCGCTGGAGGGTCAGGTGTGTGTGTGTGTGTGTTGTGTGTGTGTGTGTGCTTGGGCCCCACGGGGTCATGGTATCTCAGCCCCGCCAGCCCAGGTTCCAGCTCGAAGGTCCCTCTGGAGGCCCTCCTGGGGCAGTTCGGGGCTCCTCTGGGGCGGTACATCGGCGCTACGATTAGGTCGGGCGTGTCCCCCTACAGGCGGATTTTGGACGACCGGTTGAACATATTCCCAACATATTCCAATATCATCAAGAATAGTCCAAGAATAGTTACCACATGTTTGACTATTTTTGAATTTCCCTCCTGTAGAGGGACAGGCCCGACTTAACGCTACGAAAGTGTTGACCCACTTCGTGATTCCACCAAGACAAGTTTCGAGCAGGGCCGCCATGGCGAATTCGAGCTGGAGGAGTGCCGACTTCTATTTTCGAGGAAGTCCTGGGCGGGAACGCCATTTCGAGCGCCATGTCGAAATCCAACCAGAAGGGTATCGAATGTCAGTTTTCTGGAAATCTTTGGCGGGAGTGCGACTTCGAAGTCGAGCTCGAAAAGCCTGAATTCTGTGTCGGAGGAAGTCTTGGGCGGGAGCGACATTTCGAAGTCGAACCAGAAAGGTTTTGAATTCAACTTCGGAGAAAGACTTCGGGTGGGAGAGTAGAATTTGATTCCGACAGTTTCTAAATTCGTTCGAAATTGTTTTTCAGGTGGTCCCAAGCGAAATTGTCGTTTCGAAATTGTTTGGACATTTTACATGACCCTAGATTTCGAAAGTGTGTTTTCGTTCGCGGGACTTCCTCCAAACAACGATTTCGAAACCATCGGGTTCTAATTCGAAAGGGCGGCTGTGGAGACCTGAGCAAAACAGTGCTTGAACAGAACGTTGTATTGAGCCTCTGCGGCCTAACGGGCTCCTTTAACGTCGTCTTTCTTGTCGCGGGCGGGGCCCCGTCGCCTAACGCGAGGCGCTGCATTTTGGTCGAACTTTCGTAGTGGCGAAATACTGGGCCGTCCAGGGGGCCTCCTGGGCTGTCGTGAGGTCGTCTCGGAGGACGATGGGGCAATTTCGGGGCCCTCTTGTGCCGTTCGTCGCCGCCGCTGGAATCGCCTCGAAATTATTGTCAGAACGCACCCAGGCGAGGTCCGGGGAGTAGCGGTATCGGTACATGTTGGTTTCCCCACAAACGGCCGGGGTTGTCGACGCATCCCCCAGACCCGCAATGTCTCAGAGATTCTCGAATCACCCCATCCGAGTCAGTCTTGGTCCTTCCAGGCCGTCCAACTGGGTCCTAGTAGATGGGGTCGGAGGATCGCGCACCACAGCCGATGCATCGGCGAAGCGGCTCGAAGTGAGGCCCCAATTTCTCCACGCAAGCGTCGCCGATAAAAATCAACGACGTCGCCGATGTATCGGCTATGCATCAGGCATGTGTCGGGGATGCAGCGGGATCTTCCGACCCCATCCACTCAGACCCAATTTTATGGGCCTGTTTTCCACCACAACCACCATAAGTTGGAGGGGGAGGGGGTCCTCCTCGTCCTCCTCCACCTCCTCCTGCTCCACCTCCTCCTCCTCGTCCTCCTCCTCGTTCTCCTCCTCGTCCTCCTCCTCGTCCTCCTCCTCGTCCTCCTCCTTCCCGCCTCCAACTTATGGTAGTGGTGATGGAAAACAGGCCCATCATGATACTTTGGGCTGTCGCTAATCGTGCCTTCGTCTCACAGCTCAGCCCCCCGCCACAGGTGTCATCTACGTGATGGACCAGGCGGCCCAGGCCGGCTACTCCGCCGCGACGGCCAGCGAATGGGCGCTCGCCCGCCCGCACCGCACGCGACCGAGGGACCCCTCGTTTTTCCGGCGGGAGAGTATCAAAGAAAGTAGTTTGAGGGAGGAGGAGGAGGAGGAGGAGGAGGCGGAGGAGGAGGAGGAGGGGAAAGATAAGGAGGAGGAGGAGGAGCAGGAGCAGGAGCAGGAGCAGGAGCAGGAGCAGGAGTCGGACGACGAGGGACGAGCAGGGGCTAGCATGAGGAGAGGAGGACGTGAGGATGATGAGGATGGCAAGAAGGTGATGTCAGGATGAGGAGGACAGCGAGAGCAGAGATGATCATGAGAGGAGGAGAAGGAGAGGATGAGGAGAGGGAGGTGCAGGAGGAGGAGGGGGTTGAATCGAATGGATCCCGTCGCGATGCGACTCAAAGATCGACGACAATCCGAACTACGAGTGCGGGCCTGGCTCGGCTCGAGGAAGAAGCCTCGGGCCACTGGGACCTTCTGCGAGTGGCATTCAAAGTCTTCCCCTCCCCTCCTCGGCCTCGTGGCCCTCCGCCCCCACCTCCTTCCCACTGTTGTGCGGCCTGGCCAACGAGGGATGTTGTATGTTGAGTCTGCATGTCGTTGAGAGCAGCGGTGGAAGTCAGCAATCGACAAGGGAATAGCAGCAGTGGTCAAACGGAGTGCCCTCCTGCTGCTGCTCATCGCCCGCCTTGAGGCGAGCAGTAGCGGGAGGGGGACTGCCTAGCAGAGCTCGTCGGATCTGGCCAACAACTATGTATACTGCACCCTTCAGCCCAGGGAGAGGGCGAGGGTCCTTGTCGTGGGTTTGGTGAACAACATTCCCTCACTGGGGCGAGGTTTTGAGTATATACAGTAGGTTTGCGTCGTGTCGACCAGCGGCGACCCCAGCGCGGGCGTTCAAGGTTGAACGCCGCCAGCGACCCAGAATCGATCGATGTGGAACGATCGGACGTTGCGGCAGCGGCCGATCGTTCAAGGTTGAACGATCCCTGCGGCGTCAGGGACCAACGCTCAGGTCGACACGGCACGAACCTGCCGTACCAAATTCGGACTTGGGCGGTGGAAGCTGATTGGGCGGGAGGGTGTGGTATACAAACAACTCTTGAGGATCGGAGCCCTCTTCCTCGCAGGCCTCAGAACGGTCCGTTGTGAGCGAGTGATCTTGGCAGCAGAACGGGATTCCCCAGACTTCCATGCGTCGCGGACAAATTACGCCTTGGAACCGTCTGGGGCCCGGGACGTTCATAGCCTGACTCGCGGCGGACGAGCCGTCTTGGGCATGGGGTCTCAAGTTCCTGGGGGGCACATGTTGTCAAAGAAGTCGCAATGTCGGAGGCAGTGGACCATCGTCACGTGATCTTTGTTGGATCACACGTTGACGCGAAAGGTTCCGGAACCATCAACGTTTGAGAGGATGTCAATGTCAAATCAGGCATTGGTTCGCAGCGTCTTTCTGTCGTGTTGTAATGCGTCTCTATGTCTTTGCTAACGACTCGCGCTGGAGCGGTACGGATAGTATTACTTGGCGCTGCATTATATTATAATGGGTTCCAGGAGGTTGCTTCGACTGCCAGAGCTAGAACGGGAATGATACGGTACAACGTCAAAGTCCAAGCCAACCCAAAGAGAAATGCTCACTTTGTTTAAGGTATTCGTCAAGCCCACATCAGCGCTCGAGCTAAAGACAACCAACGTCACGCTGTGCCAAGGTCAGCTCAGACAGACTAAGCTGGGCTACGCACATCGAAACATGTCCAACCCGAAATTGAGAACAAATTTGACCACGAAAGTGAATGTGAGAACGACCAAACAATGCGACATCAAAGTAACGCAATACAACGCTGACGGCAGCTCGGAATCCCAAGCTCAGTCTGAAGCCGACTCGAAATCTGAGCCAAGCTAAGCTGAGCTGCGGCACAAGCGCCCGCACGACAGACCCCCCTCGAGAGGTATCATCCGTCATCTTCTGTGGCCGCTTCCCTGGGGCTCCAGAAAGAACAAACTTGGGATCGCTCGGACGTGTGCATGTTTTCCCGGCGAGAACCATGGAGGAGCATCTGGCATCATCTTGCGACACAAGCACACGCGAACTCGAAGACTTTTACGGGAATGGGCGTCCGAGCGATGGCGATCAACGCGTGCTGGCCAGGACAAAATCTGCTTCCATCCAGGCAGCATGAAGCAGGAGGGCGTCCTGGGGGAAGTTGGCCCGAGTTCTTCTCCGTTGTTCGGCGCGCCACGGGGCCCTCCTCAGGCCCCTGGGGCCGCCGGCTTGGCATCGCTCGGACGCGTGCGCTTTTCTCGGCAAGGATTATCGAGGAGCATGTTTGCGCACCTTCTGAAAAAAGACACGCACGAGACCGACGAGTGCACAGGGAAGGGACGCTCGATCGATGGCAAGCAACCGCCTCGGGATGCAGCGCTGTGACCCGCGCTCCCGGGCCGGGCATGGCGCGGGAGAGCGGGAACCGCTGCGCGGGCTTCCGAAGGCCACGTGTCCCACTGTTCAGGTGGGCACACCGGTCATTGGGCTATGCCAGTGATCGGGGGCAATGTTAGGGGGGGATAGGCATAGGGGGGGATGCATCGATCCCCAATCGCCCATCGATCGCCGATAGTGGCCCGATAGCCTCAACCTGCGCAGGAAGGTGCGGATTCACGATCGGAGGCCTATCGCCGATCTATCGGCGATGTATTGCCGATTCCAGGTCGATTCATCCCCCCCTGTGCCTATCCCCCCCTATCGTTGCCCCTCAAGTCAGGTTCACGCGGCGTTCTCGCGCCGGCGACACTGGTGAAGGCGTTCGAGGTTGAACCCCGCATGATAGAAGGACGCGGAAGCACCGAGGGGCACGGAAATACTCCAGAAACCGACGGAATTTTCTTTTGAACGATCGGGACCACGATCGGTGCAAGAATGAACGATCGAGGCGGTTTCAAAAACCTTTGCGCGCGCCAACGCTGCGCGAACCTACAGTATGGGGATCGGTCAGCAGGTGCTTTGCCTCGACGCACCACCTGCTGACCAGCAGCTCGTTGGATGCGCGGGCTGAACCGCGGTCGAGCTTGTTCCGACCTCGCTCGATTCGAGCCTTCTCCGTGGGAGCGTGGGTGGGGGGGGGGCCAGGAGTAGGCGAGCGTGTACGCGGGCGGCCAAACGTGTGGTGGAACTGACGAAGCAGCCCCGCACTTCCTCGGTGCAACATGTTGGGGAAAGGAGGGGTAGGGAGGCGGAGGGAGAGAGTGAGGGCGAAGGGTGCACGGGGAGGAACAGCGGCAGAGGGGAGCGGGAGGGTGCGGTGAGCTGCCCGAGGAGGATGGCGCGGGCAAAGTAGAAACCAATCTCATAATGGAGACGCAGCACATCCGTCCCTGAGACCTGGCGTTGCGAAACGATGGCGTCGCGGAGAGTCACGAGCCGAGCCTTGGACCCCGTCTTCCTGCTGCACTTTCCCTGCTGCGGTTTCCGAACCGCATCGATCTGTGATGGCCCAGGGTCCCGGAACCGCGTAAGCAACGCCCAGTGTGAACCATCTGAATCGCCCAGGTCTCAGCAAACACTCAGCCACGTGCAGAAGGGGGTCTCGAACGTATCCCTATCCCTAAGATTGACACGCCAAAAGGCGATGACAATCTTAGGGATTCGCCCTCAAAAAATAAGGGAATCCCTAAGATTGGCATCGTGATGAGGAGGTGCCCAGCATAGGGATAGGGATATGCTCCAGGCTGGGAAGTATGGGGAGGGGGGAAGGCTTCTTAGAAGCACCACTGCTTCATAGAAGGCGCGGGCCTTCTCTATAGAGGTAGGGCCGGCGCCTTCTGAGAAGCAGCCTCCTTCTAACAAGCCTTCCCCACTCCCTCTGCCCCCCCTGTGCGCGCCACCAAGACACGGTGGGGGCGCGCATCAAGAAACCATATGCTTCTCGTCGTGGTGCCCCGGGCTCCTTCGCTCCGCGTGCCGCGTGGTGACTTCTCGCGACCGTCGAAAAGAGGCTCGTGCGCTCCAGGGCCTCTGGGTTTCCCCCTCTACACGCCAGTCGTTGAAAGTAGGTATTTCTGGATTCCCAGATCTCAAAATACTTCAAGCGCCTTCCTACTTCAAGAGTCAATGTGCTTTTGCTGTGTTCCGTTCTTCCCTGGGAGGGCCCGAGCCCAATCTACTTTGTCCGCCTTCCTACTTCATGTTTCTGCCTGCGTCTTCCGACCGACGTGCACGCATCTCGCGCGAGGGTTTTCAGGGCTGGGCCTCCTGCGAGGGCTGAGTTGGGCTGTAGATGGTGGCCCGAGGCCCCTACCCAGAGGCTTTTTGATCTTCCAGGCTCCGACGGTTCGCCGCTCCGCCCGCCCCCCCCGCGCGCGCGGTTGCCGCTCCCCCCGCCCTTCTCCTCTTCCTGTCCTCCTCCTCCTCGACCCTCCTCCGCGAGCCTCCTTGGCCCTCCTCCGCCTCCTCTACCCTCATCCTCCTCCGCGATCCTCCCCACCATTCCTTCCCTTCCGTAGCCATTTTTAGCTCAGGCCGGTCTGGGTCAGGATTCGTGAGCTTGGTGGCACGGCCTTCAGAGCGGCGCTGTGTCACCGAGCCTTTTCGGCATGGTGCATCCAGTCAGGCGATGCATGTGCATGGCAGTATGTCAGCCCATGGACCCCCTCGCCCCAAGAAGCCGGTGTGGGGATGGCGGTGCAGTCGCTGCGGGTGCGCGGAGAACAAACACAATTGGGTTTTTTGAAAGCAGTGCAAGGCGCATTGGCAAGGTGTGCAGTTTGTTGACAGCAGCTGGAGCGAACGGTCTCATTGGCCTAATGGTGACTGTGCTGCTGATGACGGTGCTGCCATGGCTCGTCTGCCTCTAGCCCCTGGTCCTCCAAACGTCCGCTCGTGGGGTTACCAGTTCACTTTTGTGAATTTCTCCACTGAGGAGCTCCAGACCATTGCCAGTACCGCTCAGACGCAGGGGGGGGGCCTTGCAACAACGAGCGGGCGACGGCTGCCAAGAAGGAACTCATTCGCAAGTC